GACACAGAGAGGAATCCGAATGAACAGGTCTCCTGAGCTCCGCACAGCTTACTACGCCCAGCCCATATTCTCTGTAGCTGTCTCCGGTGAGAGCTGTCTTCCTGGACCCGGCCCTCTATCTAAACCCGTAGAAGCAGTTAAAGGGGGAGGTAAAAAGCTCTTTCTGAGTCTTTTGGGCCTTCGCTGTCTTCAGCTAAAAATAATGTATGGAATGAAGTGGCACATTTTGCGGGGTGCTCATTCCAAACTCCTACCAATGTCTTGTAGGTTTGTGCTGGAAGGAAAAGAAATTCGTATCAACATGTCTTGTGCAGTATTTGTCACCATGAACCCTGGGTAAGTATCTGTGCTAGGAGTGGAGACAGTCAAAATAGTTTTCTGAGATCTTAGCCATGAAGCAGTCGTCCGACATTGTAATGTACCATTGTACATTGTACATTGTACCATTGTAATGTACTGCCACCACCTGACCCCCTCCTGTACCTGCACACTCACAAGCGTTACAGTTCCATACTTATGCCCATGGGTCGTCTCACGTTAACTTTCTGACTGAGAGATGTTTTCACTTCCAGAATAGCTAGGAGAAAAGAAAAGGTTAGCCACTTGTCACAAAGAAGACAGACTAAAAAGCGGAGAGTAGCAGAAGGAAGAGAACTTGATGGTTATGAGGAGCAGAGACTGGGCAGGCTTAGTGAACACCTGTCGAGGGAACGTGTGGAGGGAACCGTCGGGGTGGGAGCGACCTGACGTGAGGCGCACCGTGGGAGGAGGCACAGGGAGAAAGGTCGGTAGAGGAGAACACTCTGGAAATGAAAAGTATGATAGAAACTGTCTTAGACACTTGCTTTCAAGTGAAGGTCACATAGGACACAAACGGGGTAATTCTGGAAACTATATTGTGTGGTTCCTCAACAGGAAAAATGAAAACAGAATAACTGCTTTTCTGCTTATTTATTTCTTTGTTTTTCTGACCCTCTTAAGATATAAAGGTCGAGTAGAGCTCCCGGATAACTTAAAATCTCTGTTTCGCCCAGTGGCAATGATGGCTCCCCATTATCAAATGATTGCTGAGATAATGCTGTTTTCATTTGGTTTCAAATCTGCAAAATCACTCTCTGGAAAGCTGGTTAACATTTATGAATTAGCCAGCAAGCAGCTCTCACAGCAGGTAACACATTGCTTTTTTCAAAAGCAAGGGGATTATAGAAAACCTTAAATAAGACTTTTCTGGTATCAGACCATGGGATGACCTGGGAAATAATGGAGATAGAATCCAGTCAGCAGTTCAAGATGGCGAGCCAACATGGAGGTGAGGGGTTGTGTAAAACCAGTCCAGGTTGCAAGCCTTTCCTCCAGGGCCTGGAGAAAATAATGGAATACCTGCTGTGTGAAACTGGGGACTACTTTCTCCATACAAGGAAGTTAACCTCTATAGCAGTGACTCGCACTTTTTTTGTGCTTCAAGATAATTGGGGGAATTTGTTAAAACACAAATCCCTGGACTTTACCACCAACTTTCTGAGTGGCGCAGCCCCTGAGAATTTGCGTTTCTAACAGGTTCTCAACAGTTCCTGATGTTGCTGATCTGAGTACCACATGTTGAAAATGATTGTTCTGGGATATGCCAGCTGGATGAGTATTTGTTTATGACTCAACATGGTTTGGACAACCAGCCACACCACCTCCAGAATGTTCTTCTTTACCCTATTCTTTCAGTTCATCTCTCCATTTCAGAGAAAATTTAGTTTAGATACTGATAGTTTTTAACAACTTTAATACTTTTGACTTTCTCCCTTAAGAAGACTTTAGGGGCACCACTTTGGGGGGAAGTGAAGGCACTAGAAGCCAAATGCAGTCTTTCTTGATTTACAGCACAGTCTTTCTTCACAGTGTACATGATTAGGGATTTAACTGTGTAGTATATGCATTTATTTCCAAGTCATCCCATTTTTCTTTCAGAAATGTAATAACTCAGATATTTTAATGCTTTATAGGATCATTATGATTTTGGCTTGAGGTCTCTGAAGACCGTTTTAACAATGGCTGGGAAGAAGACACAGGTATTTAAATGGTGAGTTGAATTTTGAATTGTTAGGTCAAACGAAGTTCTGCAACACAGGGAAAATAATTGGTGAAAGTCTAAGTAACAATGACGAGATAAAACGGAGCTCCCAGAATGTTACAGTGAAATATAATAGAGGTGTTTAGGAATGTGAAAGAAGAGGAAGAAAAAAATGCACAAGATCCCCGGGGACTTTTCCTCAGAAGAACCTATTGTTTAAAAAAATGTATCTTGGGGTGCCTGGGTGGCTCAGTGGGTTAAAGCCTCTGCCTTTGGCTCAGGTCATGATTCCAGGGTCCTGGGATCGAGCCCCACATCAGGCTCTTTGCTCAGCAGGGAGCCTGCTTCCTCCTCTCTCTCTGCCTGCCTCTCTGCCTACTTTTGATCTCTATCTGTCAAATAAATAAGTAAAATCTTTTTTAAAAAGTATCTTAACCTTTATATAATAAAAGATACACTGGAATAAAAGGCCTTATTTAAAAGAGCAGTAATTTAATGAGAAATGTAAAACCTATATGAATATATCTGTATGAGAAATGTGTAAAACCCATATGAAGAAAACATTTGTGAAGGACGCAAATGAAAACATGAATAAATGAAATAATACATCATGTACTTAATATAACATCTTAGATGGTCTAGCATCAAAAAGATTTAAAGACTCTAAATGTTCATTTATGAATGAAAAAACCTCCCAGTGAGTATACCAAAGGTATTTGTTTATTTTTGAGCCAGCAGATTCTAAAGTTCAAATAGAAAGGGGCTTCTCAGTGGCACAAGCGGTTAAGCATCCGACGCTTGGTTTCGACTCAGGTTGTGATTTCATGGGTCATGATCTCACGGGTCATGAGATGGAGCCCTGAGTCAGGCTCTTTGCTCAGCAGGGAGTCTGCTTGAGATTCTCTCTCCTTCCATCCCTCCCACCACTCCCACTTGCATGTGCAAATGCACTCTTTTCTCTGTCTCAAATAAATAAATGCATTGTAAAAAAAAGAAAAACAGTTAAGACTAACTAGAAAGATATTAACAAATGAAAGCAATGAAGGAGAAACATCCCTTTAATTACTGAGACATATTATAGAGCTGCTTTGGTTAAACACTGTGGTGCTGGCTTATGAACAGAGAGGGACAGGTCATCAGGACAGAACAGAATCCAGAGGCAGGACTTCACACTCTGGGCGTGTAGTGTTGTCAGTTGTGAGGCAAGAACAAACTCCCAGACTTTCCAGTGATTGTCTTTGGGAAAACTAAAGTGCCCTGTGCATAAAGACGCAGTTGGAGCCACGGCCAACGTTATCTACCTGGATAACAGGAGCAAAAGACTAAAAACGTAAAAGGATTTGAAGAAACAAAATGTCCTTTATATTCTTGGACTACAGAAGACCTGTAAAACTAAGACCCAAAATCTAGAAGCTATAAAGGCGAAGAGTGATAATGGTAAAAAAAAACACTATGCAGTCAGGAGCTGAGTGATGAACTGGGAAGAAGGCTATTTGCAGCTCTCTGGGCAGAGGGAGAGCTCATCCTCATGACACAGGAGGACTGCCTGGAGAACACGGGGAAGGACTCGTATGCAAAATGGGCAAAGGACAGTTCTCAGAAAAGGAAACATAAAGTTTTTAAATACATGAAAATATACTCAACCCCACTCCTGAGAGAAATGCACATTAAAAATGGAAATGTTGTCTCTCATCAGATGGGCAAAAATACGAAAGTTGGGACTTTGTTGGTGAAGCTATAGGGAAATGAGCATTTGTTTCCACTGTTGCTAAGGGGTGGACCTCTTTGAATTTGATCTGGGGCTATATTCATGTATTACCCATTAAAAGTTAAATGAAAAAAAGTGAATATGTTGTAAGAGGGCATATCAATATGCCATTTACATGAATTATTAAAACACAGCCAGTGTTACAGATTGTTCATGGTACCTAGATACAGCACCAAGCACAGAACGCTGTGGGGAGGGGAAGAGCCAGGGGTCTGGCTTTAGCTCAACCGTAGTATGTTATTTCTTACAAATAAAGGAACTAAGGCACATAGAGCAAAATGGCCTATGGAAGACTGATGGCAGGTAGATGGGTACCTGTTATGAAATGCTTTGTCATTGGGAAGAATTAGAGGCAGGAGTACCAGGAATCAGCTTCCTGACATTCTCCAGTCCTCCAGTCTTTCTGCTGTACGAGGACCTGTTCCAGAGAGGGAGTCCCTGATCCGTGTTCTTTGCATCATAGAAAAGCCTCAGTTAGTTCTCCCAGGCACCTGGACTGGGGCTCCCACGTCCAGCGTGCTGTCAGTCTGCTGCCATGAGGAGCAGCTGTCTTTTGTCTGTCTGTGCTTGCACAGCTGTGACAGCCCGCCCCCTGGTCCCCCTAAAGCAGGCGATGTGGTTGTGTGAAGATGACTGTATTATAAAGAGGATTGGGGAATTTTTTTTTAAGATTTTACTTATTTATTTGACAGATAGAGATCACAGACAGGGAGTCAGGCAGAGAGAGAGAGAGAGAGGAGGAAGCAGGATCCCCACCGACCAGAGAGCCCAATGCGGGGCTCAATCCCAGGACCCTGGGATCATGACCTGAGGCGAAGGCAGAGGCTTTAACCCACTGAGCCACCCAGGTGCCCCAGATTTGGGAATTTTTATCAGAGTAAAGCACAGCAAGAAATTTAAAAATCAGACTTTCGCTTTTTAAAAATCCCTTGGCCCTTCCTGACACCAAAAACTATTGTGGTTCTTCTTGTCTGTCCTTTTCCCTTCTGTCCCTTCCTCTCCCTCTGCTCTTGCCCATTCTTTCTCAGGCTCCTGGCTTTGCCTCCGAGGGACGCAAAGATACCACAAATGTCCCTCATTTCCAGAGCAGTGTCCCAGCAATTCTGTCTGGAAATGTTGTACTGGCAGAGTTGTTGTACTACAACAAGTGTTGTACTACAGCGTGCGGAGGACAGGAGGTCACCTGTGGTCTCCTGAGGGCCGCAGCCGCAGGTACCATGTTCCTGACCACCCTCCTCTGCCATAATCGCATTCCTGGCAGACAGTGGATTGGGAAGCCCCGGCGGCTGCGGACCGTGTCTTCCCAGGCGAGGCAGAACACGATCCGTCGCCTGGAGATAGAGGCGGAGAACCACTACTGGCTGAGCATGCCCTACCTCACCGCGGAGCAGGAGTACGGCCACGCCGCAGAGCACAGGGTGGCGGCCTTCGAGGCCATCAAGGCGGCCAGCATGTCCAAGTTCCCCCCACACAGATTTGTGGTAGACCAGCTTGATCATCTCAATGTCAGCAAGAAGTGGTCCTGACCCAGAGGCAGTCACAGGGCTGCCACCTCTGGACTCATTCTGGAACCGAAGAAGGAGGAAAAATGATCCTTTGGACCAGTCTTATTGAACAGCAAGCATGAGTATAGTGGTCTGCGTATAGAATATCTGGAGCTCCAAACTCTTTAATAAAACTTCATATTTTAGTAAAAAAAAAAAAAAAATTGACTTTTTTTTTTTTTTTTTTTTTTGTACTAGGAGAGCCTCGCTCTAACTCCCGGAGAGTCTGGAGGTGCTTATATTTAAAACAGTAGTAGGAGGGGCGCCTGGGTGGCTCAGTCGTTAAGCGTCTGCCTTCAGCTCAGGTCATGGTCCCAGGGTCCTGGGAGCCAGCCCCGCATCGGGCTCCCTACTCAGCAGGAAGCCTGCTTCTCCCTCTCCTACCCCTGCTGCTTGTGTTCCCCTCTCTCGCTGTGTCTCTTTCTGTGAAATAAATAAAATCTTAAAAAAAACCAAAAAAACAGTAGTAGGAGACCGTGTATTTGCTTTGTAGGGCTGCCATAACAAATGGCTACAAACTTGTCATCTTAAAGTACCTGAGACCAGAAGTCTGAACTCCAGGTTGTGGGCAGGACTGTTGTCCCTGCCAAGGCCCAGAGGGAGAGTCCGGCCTGTGATCTGTCAGCACCCCAGAGCTTGGGGCTGCGTCACTCCGGTGTCCACCCCCTCTTCTCACTGTCTGCGTGTCTGTGTGTCTCTCTGCCTTGCTCTCAGGAGGAGCGTGTGACTGCATTTAAATTGGGATCATCTGAGATAAACTCAGTCCCACCTTTTGCTGTATCAGAAAATATTTACAGGTTCCAGGGATTAGCAAGGGAATGTATCTCTGTGGAACAGTTTTGTCTGCCTCCCGCAGACAGTCCCAGAAAGGAGGTTTCTGTATCTCCCTTTCGGGGAGACAGACTGCCCAGCAGCTGGAATCCTAGGATGTCCTTGGTAGAAAAGATGTGCTTTGTCAACAGCTAGAGAATTAACATCTCTTCAGGTAAGCACTTGAAACACTTACAAAACTTACCACAGTACTGGGCCATAAAGTGAGTCTTGACTAATTCCAAAGAATGTGGTAGGTATCATGAAGGCAATCAAAACGGGTAAGAAAAAAAAAATTATTTTCTTGGATTTTCTTGGATTTAATTGACTTATTAGTGTAGAGCTTTCATTTTTTATTCTTAAATGATAACAGATATTCCCCATGATAATCTTAGATGCCATCCCCCAAATTATTCTTGTGGAGAACTTTAGTTGAGTCTTACCTTTATATATCTAACAGCACAGTAGCATAACAGTATTATTATATATAAACTGTGATTGCTCCCAGATGTAGTAGTTTGTGCATCCATCAGTCCTTCCTTCCTCCCCTCCTTCCTTCAAGTTATCCTCCTCGAGTGTAAAGCAAGCTGTGTCTGGGGAGAAAGAATGTCACTGACCCCCAGCAACTGTCTGAACTGGGTCATGTTGAGTATTACTTTCCCTTTTAAGTGCTTGAAAAGAGTAATGAATTCTTTGATTAAAGAATTAGAATGCCTGGTAAAAGTGCTCCCTAAACGTTAGCTATTAGCTGTTTTTATTAAGGATCAAAGACTTCAGATTCGCCTCCGGCCTGCTGAAGAGTTTGGACATGTGTGCCCAGGAGGGCAGAAGGACCTCTCCCGCCCAGAGTACGTTGCTTCTTGTGCGTCTCTGCAGTCTGACCGCACGGCCTGCTGTTCCTTCTCCTGCGGGCATGTTTAATGTGCACAGATATGTGCTGAAGTGTTCAAGAGGCAACATATTGTTACTGTGGGGCAGTATATTTTGCGATGACTTCTTACATCTGGAGGCTTTTGTGACAACAAGCAGAGATACCTTCAGCTGGCTTGAGCGGAAGAGGGGTTCGAGGTTTCTCTCCCTCAGAAGCTCCAGAGGCGGGCAGGGGAGGACTGCTCTGACAAGGGTTTCAGGTCCATTTGTCTCTACAGGACCGCTTCTGTGGCGTAACTTGGGCCATAGTTCCCAGCTGCATAGCCTGCAAGCCTGCTTCCCTGGTCTGCCTCGAGATTGTGCATAAATTATTATTTCTTATTTGACATCAACCTGAATTCGTTCCATTATTTGCAGCTAAAACACGTTACTGATACAATGCCAGGCCCTGACTGGGGGGGTGGCATTGCCCTGCCTGTTCGGGACCAGCCCGGGCCTGTCTCTGGGCCCATCTCTGGGTCCCACCTGTGGACCCTGGGACCAGATCTGCCTCACGCACACCATCTAGCTGCTTTGCAGTGAGGGACAGGAGGAAGGGCCGTGGGGATAGCCACCGCCGCAAAGGAGCAGAACAGTCCTCAGTGTCATTCTTGCTCACCTTGTCTGTATTTTCTTCTTCTGTTAAAGTAACACCGGTGACCATCTTTCTGAAAAGGAGGAGACTCTGATCGTTATTGAGGCTCTAAGAGAAGCTAGTTTGCCAAAATTTCTCCCTGAAGACGTCCCATGTTTTGAAAAGATTATAGGAGATATTTTTCCTGAAGCAGCAGTTTCAACACCAAATCAGGTTGCCTTGGAGGTAATAAGACTTTTGAAAACCATCACAAATGATTTAGATGTGGAATATTGAGATAAGAAACGACGTAAGTAAAAAATATTCTAGTTCTTCCTGAAACACTCTATTCATGTTCTGGTTGGAGGGATAAACATACTCGGAGACGTATTTCCCCCTGGGAGAAAAACAGCCTCAGTCAAGGAAGGCTGCTAATTACATTGTTCCCCAGTTTTTTCGTCTTTCCAAAGGGAATGAGGGTTTCCTCTTCCTACTTTAAAGCGGTGCTCTAAGGATCATATTAGATCAGGACTATGAAAAAGGACATTACAATGTAAACTTTTGTGGTTATAAAAATGGCATGTTATGACTGACCTTGCAGTCATCGCCACTGTCTGGGTGGGGTCTCGACTTTTCTCCCGCGGCCCCCTGTGTCCACATGCTGCGGCAGCCAGCAATGTTTTCTGGACACCTGTGACCAGGCCCACAGAGCCCACAGAGCCTCCAGCAGACAGACCCAGAGTCAGCTCCCCCGACACCGGTCACACTGCCTTTCACAGTCTGGCCACATCAGGTGACCTGTGTGTCCTTTTTCCTCCCGCCACTTTTTCCACCCCAAGGGTCTCTTTGCTTTCTGGCTCTTCTTGGGCCCTTATCAGCTATCAGGCCATCAAACCCACACACTCCTTTCCCTGGGACCCTGCCCAATTTTTCAAAACACTTTTTTTGTGGATTTTTTTGTTTTAATTTTAGTATATATGGTTTATGTATGTAGCTTGTAGTTTAAACAGCCTCATAATTGTTCCTTCTTTACGTATAGGTATAAGCTATGTGCACAACCCCATACCCAGCGGGCATAGAATACATATTATTTTGAGGCACACATGAAGTGCTCAGCAAAAGATCATTCATTAGGTTGTGTAGGAAGGTCTGGGAAAATTTCCCGTGCAAACCAGGAGTTTTATGACACGATAGTTCTTTCATGGTTCTGGTCTAGTTAGATTTCAGATCCCTTCTAGGCTCAATTTTGTTGAACTAGGGAGTATTCTCATGGCATTCACATGTTAGAATGCTCTGTGTGGGTCTGAGACAACCACTGTCTCACAGCTGCTGCGATTTCCCGTTTCTGATGTTACCCTCCCAGCAGGTCTTATTTTCTTAGCTTGGGTTTGCTTCATTACATAGATGACCTAGAAGTGTATCTAATTGTTTTCTTCCAAAAAATGGCCTTTTATTTAATACATCTTTTTGATTTCTAACCTTTTAATATCCTTATTATTATTTTTATTTAGTTTTATTTTTTATAAACCTATAATGTGTTTTATAATTATATATAATTATATAATTATAATGTATTTTATAATATAATTATATTTAATTATAATTATAATTATATATTATAATAATATATAATATATATTATTATTATAAATACATTATAATATAATTATAATGTATTTTATAAACATATAATGTATTTTTAGCCCCAGGGGTACAGGTCTGTGAATCTCCAGGTTTACATGCTTCACAGCACTCACCACAGCACACACACCCCCAAATGTTCATAACCCAAACACCCTCTCCCGACCCCCTCCCCGCAACAACCCTCAGTTTGTTCTGTGAGATTAAGAGTCTCTGATGGTTTGTCTCCCTCCTGATCCCATCTTGTTTCATTTATTCTTTTCGTACCCCCCAAACACCCCACATTGCATCTCCACTTCCTCATATCAGAGAGATCATATGATAGTTGTCTTTCTCCGATTGACTTATTTCGCTAAGCATGATACCCTCTAGTTCCATCCACATCATTGCAAATGGCAAGATTTCATTTCTTTTGATGGCTGCATAGTATTCCATTGTATATATACACCACATCGTCTTTATCCATTCATCTGTTGATGGACATCTAGGTTCTTTCCATAGTTTGGCTATTGTGGACACTGCTGCTATAAACATTCGGGTGCACATGCCCCTTCGGATCACTACTTTTGTATCTTTAGGGTAAATACCCAGTAGTGAAATTGCTGGGTCATAGGGTAGCTCTATTTTCAACTTTTTGAGGAACCTCCATGCTGTTTTCCAGAGTGACTGCACCAGCTTGCATTCCCACCAACAGTGTAGGAGGGTTCCCCTTTCTCTGCATCCTCACTAGCATCTGTCATTTCCTGACTTGTTAATTTTAGCCATCCTGACCGGTGTGAGGTGATAGGTCATTGTGGTTTTGATTTGTATTTCCCTGATGCCGAGTGATGTGGAGCACTTTTTCATGTGTCTGTTGGCCATCTGGATATCTTCTTTGCAGAAATGTCTGTTCATGTCCTCTGCCCATTTCTTGATTGGATTATTAGTTCTTTGGGTGTTGAGTTTGCTAAGCTCTTTATAGATTTTGGATACTAGCCCTTTATCTGATAAGTTGTTTGTTAACTGTTTCCTTTGCTGTGCAAAAGCTTTTGATCTTGATGAAATCCCAATAGTTCATTTTTGCCCTTGCTTCCCTTGCCTTTGGCGATGTTCCTAGGAAGAGGTTGCTGCGGCTGAGGTCAAAGAAGTTGCTGCCTGTGTTCTCCTCAAGGATTTTGATGGATTCCTTTTTCACACTGAGGTTCCTTCATCCATTTT